AGAAAGCTTATCTATAAGTGTACTCCACTGACCTTCAGAATGAATTTTGTATATTTCTTTCTCTTAGGAAAAGTTTTAGAATTCAGTTGCAAAATAATCCATAAACAATTAGGGAAAATCACAGAAAGAGCGTACAATTGAACTTCATTTAAAATTTAATATATAGAAAAAAAAAAAAAAAAAAAAAAAAAAAAAAAAAAACAGTCTTAGTTTGACGTAAATTCTGAATAACTTTATCTTTTTTAACTTAATTTTAAATTTTGGGTTGGCATGTTTCTATTTTAATTTGCTCTATTAAAAAATTTCTTGCTCATCGAAATTACGATTTCCAAGGTGCATTTTACAAAATTAAAGATCTGATCTTTATTTTTTTTTTCATAACTATAATTAAATCCCTTCTTTGTCATCACAGTAAGTTTTTTTAATTCTATTCTTGTGTTAAATACAGAATATTATTATTAATCATATCAGTCAAAACAAATTTTGTATCTTTTGTTAATTATTTTCATTATATATGTTAATTAAATGACTGAATAATTTGATATTTCATAAGGAATCATATAATTCCATAACAAATGTTTAGAACGATAAACGGCATTAGCGTTGTTCGATATCCATACGACATTTTTTAAATACTTCGAAAGAAACCTCATCCACGCATTTACTCTTTTGAAATCTTGAGTGGAATAAATTCAAGATCAGGTGTTGAATAAATTCCAGCTTTTCTTCATTAAGTAACTGCAAAACTTCGCACGGTGTAATTTGCGTTGAATAATATCATAACAACTCCTCGCCCTGTTTATCACTTTACGATTTTAATAAGTCATTTTAAAAGTAAGATTTTATATTCTATATCCTGAATTTCTGGTATTCTATATCCTGAATTTCTGGTATTCTATATCCTGAATTTCTGGTGAACTAATTCTTAATTTAGTAGGTCTGCTTGTAAAATTGTTTCAGATATTAAAACGGAATCGTTATACTAAGATCCAATTCAGGTGCTATTTTAGCCCAAAGGGCGTCAGCCCTGAAGGGCTATTAATTTCGTTTTGGCATTTTGTGGCGTTTCACTATAAACATCGTTTCATTTTTCACATTAATACTACCAAATATTATCGCCCTGTATCGTGTTAAAAAATTAAATAATGAAGAATGTGCATAAATGTCTGTACATTTTTCACATTGTGATAAAACAACTGTACCTAGAACTATAAAATTTTGAGTAATGTACGTCTCCACCCGAATATTGGCATCTGGAAGCCCAAATTTGGAATTTGGAATTTGTTTTATAATATATTTCATATTTTGTAAAGCATTTACGAGTTTTTGATTAAGAAATTAAGCGATTTCAAAGCGAGCGATGGCAATACTGTACGATTTTTTTTTTTTTTTTTTAATTTCCAGGCGCAAGACTGTGTATCGGAAATTCTAAAGATATGCTCTTTTAAAATTATTTGTGATATTGCTGTTTAATTGAATTTTACGGTTTAAGTGCCAAGAACATAATATTTAATAAATAAAGGTAACATACAAAAAGTTTAAAAAATCCCTTTTGGGAGTAATATAAAATCTGAAAATTTTCAGGTTTTTTTTATTATTACTATTATCATATTTAAATCTATTTTTTATTAACTCTTGCATTAACTTTTTTATTAACTCTTTCAACTTTTATATTTTATTATTTTTATTAACGTTAAACTTTTCGAGTTGTTAGACTGTAAGCTAAAGTTTTTAGATGCCCCCATTTTTTAAAAAAATTTAATAATAATGAATGAATAAGAATTTTGGATAATAATTAATGTTTTTATGTAATTTAAATATTTAATTTTATATTTAAAAGAGCTGTTTAGGATTTTTTTAAATCAAAAACATTCATTCTTACAAAGAAAGGAAAAGAGTTTGCTAAATAATTTTCCCCGTTCATAGTGCAAAAGATCCATAAGCTCATGATAAAATGCCGTTATTTGCATTTCAGAGACACTTCTTTTTCCCCGGAAGACATTACTTCAAACGAAGTTACCAAACAGGAAATTATGAATAAAAGAATAAACATTAAGGGGTAATTTAATTATGCTATTTAATTCTCATGCAACTGTTAATTCCAAATAAAAACTAGTAAGAACGTTCTTTTAACACTACTTACATTTAACAGAGTACTCATAATTAATTTTAACCATATTAAAGAAATTTATCAAGAGATCGCCTAAACTAAGAGATAAATAAGATGCAGCTTTGACGATAGTCTGGGCATTAATTAATATACTTACAGATTATCGCTTAAATATTAACTTCAGGCAAAGATGCTAGGAATGAATTTATAAGGTATTTTCTACCGCCTTCTATCATGAATTCTTGGTGTAACGGTATCACACTCTGCGCGTGTAAAAGAGGTCCATTCCCGGCGAGGGCACTGCATATTTTTCCGACCTCCTGTATCTATCTATATATATATATATATATATATATATATATATATATATATATACCTAAAGTAATTTAATAAGAGGCCAAAAACTAAAAACAAATGTTTTGTATCCGTCCTGTGCTATAACTGCAAGATTGAAGTAAAATAAACTTAAAGCATCTAAAGTTAAAAGTAAATTGGAGTCAAAGCAAGGCAATTCCTCATCAATATTAATAATTACATCTTTGTATAAGAGGATAACGCAATATCTAAACTATTCAAAATAAAAGTGATCATAGAAATACAAACTCGAAAACAAAAAATGCAAAAGGGAAAATATATGCAAAATAATAAAAAATATAAAAAATAATCTCCTTTTATTATGTAATATTATACATATATATAATTTATTTACTAAAGAAATATTGATTATATATATATATATAAACTAATGACTCTACAAATTGAATACGAAAGAGTGGTAAAAAATACATGAATGCATGTAAATTTGAAATTATCTAATCTTAACTATCTTTCATGCTGTCCGTGATTTCACTTTTCTGTCGTTGCATTTTTTTGCGCTTAAGGCATGATTTCTACTTCTCTCCTCAAGACCCGAACCAGTCCCAAATTTTAAGGGCACTTGTCTCAATGTATACTTTCTCATAAACCAGTTTAACTTTCTTTAAAGCAAAGAATGTGGCCCATGTAAGAGTTTCGGCCCTGAGGCTGTAGAGTCTCTTAATTATTCTTTGCTTTCATGTATTTCATTCATGTACGTGTAAGAAGTAATATTTAGATATCAGGGATTTTAAATTTCGCAATAACTGCCGTATTGATACGATTATACTTGTGAGAAGTCACTCTGTTTTTCAGGTGTTTTCACAAGATAATTGAAGTGCTTGCTGTTATAATTTAATGAAGGAATATTTTGCTTTGAATTATTAATAATTTACGCGAGGATCAAACACATTAATCACCTCGAACGACGGAATCTAATAAGTCTCACACCGGCCTTATTACGAGGTTTCCAGTGTAATTGAGAACGGAAATCAAGCATTTTGATTTGTTTGGTTAATTTTATCTGGAATTTTATTCATTTATTATTTATTACCCCAAAACGGCTATCAGTCTCGAAACACGATTTTGCGTGAAATCACTATAAATGCGTCGTTTCACTTTTCATTCGAGTCTGTTGTCATTTAACAAAATGTAAGATATTTATCCTTCAAATTAAATCTGTCTGTTGTGGATCAACAAACTAAGCTATTTAAAAGCAATACATGCAATTCTTAAGAATATTCGTTTGTTACTTTTGAATCGGATTGATTTAAATAATAAAAATGCACTGAATTCATGAATGCATTTAATTTAAAATATTCAATATTTTCATAGAATCACGTTATATATTTTTTATTAATTATTTCATGTTTTATAAAACTTTAATAAATTTTTGATTAGCAAATTCGACGATTTGAAAGCGACCAATGGCAACACTGTAAGGAGTGAAACATTTTTATTTCCAGCAATCGAAATTGTCGTCACAGTCGCTTATGTTGCTTTTATATATTTTGAGATTTTGCTGTTGAAAAGAATTTTATGTAAATAAGAGAGAGATGTTTAAGAAATAAAGCTGACATGCAAAAAGTCAATAACAAAAAGACTGAAAAAAGTTATGTATTTATTTTATTTTATTTTATTTTTATTAAGAAAACTGGATGTTGATATGATGAACTGAGAAGAGACCGAAAAAGTAGAAAAATGTATCCCGACAATTAACACAGCGTCGGGAATTCTAAACATATGCTCCTAGGCTGCGTTTAAAATTTTTGCGATTATGCTGTTGAATTATATATGGGGGAAGTGCGAAGAAAACGATGTTTAATAATACAGCTGGAGGGGGGGGGAAATACTAGGCTAGCAAGCGTGAGTGCAACAGCAGGCTGGTGGATCGCGAGCTCAACGTGATCGATAAATACAAACTTTTTTGAGCGATGGTTAAAATCTGAAAACTTTCAGACTTTTTTTTAATGTTGTTTATTTATGTTTTCCTTCACTCCGCTTTGAAATATTTTTATTTACCTTTTTTTTTTGCTTTGCACATGCTTCTTTTATTACTACTTATTGTTGAACAATATTTTTCCGGAGTTAGACTCGGAAACTTCTCCACGCAAACTACGAAATCATAATAATTAAATGAATGAGTTTTCTTTCCGGATCATACTTTCTTCCCCATATAGTATTTTCGCATTCAAATTATTGTAACTAACCTTCGGAACAAGGTGTTATTTAAAGTGAGCGCAGAAAAAGTGAGACAGTGAAATGCCCAGCACAAAGCATCTATTGTCTCCTGCTCGTTTCAAATTATGTCTCGGAGATGAAATCCCCCCAGACAACGGGAGAAAAAACATCACCTATTTGGCATCGTAGTTTGGCAACCAATTATTTCGTGCCGCCTACCGTAATCAATTGGTAAGTATACAGGAGGGCGGCGCCAACGGCGACCGCCGCCGCGTTTCCCGTCGCCAAACCCCAGGCGACCAATTGGGAGTCGATGTGTGAGCATCCGTAGGGCGGGACGTTCACTCGACGACTGCCTATTTCATAAAGTGGACATAGTTTGTCGAGTAACCCTCAGTTGAAGTTGAGAATGACGGGAAGTCGTGCGTTGCGAACCGGTTAGGAGCGCTTATTTTGTTTTGTTTGTTTACTTTCTTCTCTAAAAAGGGAGTTTGTGAAAGGTGATCACACCTGTCATATTTGTTACGACTTTAACGGTTGAATGATCATTCTTCATGGGCGCTCACAGCGAATTCGAGAGTTTAGTAAATTCTCAGGCTGAATTATGAGTCAATAAGTTTGGCATTGAAATAACGTGGTTATGAATGAATAAATGAAAATTATCTATGACTGCAAATTACCTGGTCTGAATTGAACCTATGTTCATCAAATTTGCATTGTAACTGAGGACACTTTTTTTACGTTAAACAGGAGAATATGTTTCAGAGTGCATTGTTTTCCCCAAATGTTTTAGAAATATTGTTAGCTTCAGTTTTTCCAATCTGATAAACCGGCTTCTGAAATGACTGCAAGACTTTCAAGTTGAACGAGAAGAAATTTTAAAGAACTATTAAAAATCTTAAAAATAACCCATGCTGTGTGATCGATCTTCCCGAACTTCTCCACCAGTGGCCTCCAATGCTATCGAGGTCACCAACGTTACCACAAGGATTGCTGGCATCATGGACAGGGAATATATGGAACAAGCACCCATGTCCACAGCTACTGTGCAGTCAACATCACCCCCTACTTCTGAAAATAATTCCTCTTCATCCCCTGTCAATCACAGCTCTTCCACCAAGCCGAAATTATCTTTCAGTATCAGCAGACTGCTGGGAGATGATAGCAGACAAGACAATGATAATAACCACCGCAAAGAGGACAGTAGATCTTCCACTGACAATAACAGTGGACATGGAGGTGACAGCAGCTCCGCGAGGACAACACCGGCTTCATCATCCGCTGCCTCACCTATGATGGTGATGAGCAGTGGGGGTTGTTGTGTCGGATTGTCAGCTCAAGCCTACTTCTCAACTGCCGATCTAAAGACTTCCTGCGTGCCTGTGATGACACCGCACTACGATCCATTACAAAGCGGAGCAAACGGAACTGTGATTCGGGTTCCGGCACATCGGCCGGCACCTCTTTCTTATCCGACAACAGTCAACTTCCCATGGGTGGGATCTCATGGGATGGGCAAAGACAGAATTCCAGGTCAGTTTTCATAATTTTATTTTACAGTTTAATTTAATATAAAATTCGTAAAAAGAATTTTATGGTTTGTTTTAATACTTATTATAATGTTAACTGTTTTTATGGGTGGTTGATAATAGTATAGTATATATAATTGCGAATTAATATACAAGAATATGCAAAAGAAAAACATATTGAATGAAAATTATAAACTGAAAATAATCAAGCCGAAGATTTCAACGCTTGAGCTTACGTTAGTGCCTAACATAGATAACGATATGAAGCTGAAATTTACGTCATAAATTGTAAAATCTTATCTTTAATACGCCGAAAACTAGCATGCCATTTGTCGTTAATTTTCGGTTAATATAGTGTTTCGAACATGTTAAAAGGAATTCTATTTAAATCGTCTTTCATGAAAAAAGTTAAATATAAGAAGAATAAGCTTATTATTATTGATATATGGTTTCATCTTAGTTTCTTAATATTCAGTGAACTGGTATCATATTAAACACAAATAAAAGTACGATAATTAACATGATTTTTAATTACAGAATTTTTGCTTCTTATTTAGAAGATAATTGACTAGACTGACTATTTTTTACTGGTATATGTTGTTTATGTATTAGACAGTTAAGGCTGGAAGGGGAAAAAATGACATTAATTTTGTTTCTTTTTTTCAAATTCCGTCTGACAGATGTAATTTTTTCTAATCCTTATTAAGAAAAATTTTGATTAACTCTTAAAAGAAACTAAGCTTGAGTGCCATTCTGTAAGACACTTCGATAAGAAAAGGAGAAAATATTAAATTCTGAAATATTTTAGCTGTGTCGCATTTCTTTTTATCAGTTCTAGGCAATGTTATAAATGACAATAAAGAGAAATGAGGGTAAGTTGATAAAAATATTAGGTTAAGTACATGCACATGTTTAAGATCTCAGCAGATAAAATTATACAAATTTTTACCTGAAATTTAATGATAAGAAACGGCACACATTTTACTTTATTCCTATAATTGTGTAATACAACGTTTTGTTACACAATAATCAATATTTGCTTGAAGTTTCGTACCCAAAAGTAAAAATGCTTATCAGGAATTTTGTAGATGCATCATTTCAATTATTCCTTTTCTTATCTCATAAATGGCCTGCCGTCTTACTCTACTTACCTAAATTTAATAGCGTGTTTTTAGATATAAATTGATAAAATAAATTTTCGTTATTCTTCAGGTGTTTGAGATGTCATATAAATGCATAAATGCGTTTCAGAATGAATGTAGCTTTCGAATGTGTTGATAATTATCTATTTGCTTATGTAATTTTTATCCATTTGGAAAAGAAAATTGCAACTTTTTAACGTTATCACATCATCAGAGACAGACAAAGTTCAGATTCAATTCAACATTGATTCCTATTAATGGTAGATTGCTATTAAATTTGTTTAAAATCAAGACCAGACTAACATTAGGTTGAATTTGGGATATTTTTTGAATTGTTAGTGGTTTTATGATAAGAATATATTTGATTAAAGTGTACAATATGCCTTTAATAATCGAAGCGAAATCCGAAATGAAAAGAGAAGAAAGGCTTTGTGTTGCTAACTCTTAAAAATTTTCTCATTCTTTTTCATATATCAATGTAAAATACTGCGATAGGAGCAGTACGTGACTGATAAGTACGTATAACGATGTCTAAATAATGTAAAGATTAAAAAACAGTAATTCATGCTCTTAGGATAAGCATCTCTTAACAGTTTCAAAGTTATTTCCATATTTTCATCTGATTCGTATACCACCTTTTAATTAAAGAAGATTAAATTACCATAATTGAATGGTTTCTTGAAATTAACAATAATTACTGATCATTAACTTCCTGTTTTTGTAGTACAAAATAAACAAAAGTTGCAGTCGCATGTACAATTATATTCAATAAATGGGATATAATAGAAGTTAAGCTCAAATTTTACAGGTCTTTTATTGAACTATGAGGTATTTCTCCCGCCTTCTTAGCATGTCTTCGTGGTGTAGTGGTCAGCACACTCGGCGAGCGAGTATCGAGAAGTCCGAGGTTCGAGTCTCAGTGAGGGCATTGCTCATTTGTCTCTAATCCTGCTTTAAAAAAAATACCAGATGTATGAACTTTGATAAATGTAATGAAATATCATTGGTGTAAAAGAGGCAACACCAAGTTGCTTGTGACCATCCCTAAAGAATAAAACTTACCATTTACAAATTAGATCTGTTAATAAAATGTTCGTTGTCAGAAATTCGTAAAATGCCCAAAAGAATATTTACATAGATTATAGGAGAGTAGGCATAAATACATAATTGAATAGTATTGGGATGTTTGTGTGTAAGGTATTTTGACGATAATTATAAATGTACCCTAGAAGGTTGTCAAAAACGAAACTGCTTCCTGCAGGTCTTAATTTATAATATCAAAAGCAAAGAAGCTGTTTGGAAAACTATTGGAATGTGATAAAATAATAATTAGTAAAATAATGGACATAATAATAATAATAATAATCTGAAAGGGTTCAGACTTTAACGATTGAACCAAAAGGGTTCGTTAAGGTCTTTTACGCTCTCGTTGAGGTCGCATAGTACCAATCTGCTATTGCATTTACTCTAACTTTATTAAGCATCGTTTTCTTCCCACTTGCGCCATGTACAATTCAATAGCAAAATCACAAAAATTTTAAAAGCAGCCTAGCAGCATATGTTAAGAATTCCATGCAGTGTCAAGTGTTGGCAAACATTTTTCAGTTTTTTTCAGTCTTTTCTCAGTTCATATTAATATTCAGTTTTCTTAGTAAGATGTCTTATGAATTTTTTTTTCCTTTTCATTATTGACGTTTTGTGTGCTAAATTTAATTATTAAATATCACATTCTTCGCAGTTACGCCGCATAAAATTCAATTCAACAGCAAAATCACAAAACATATAAAAACAGATAATGTTTCCGATAGCCAGTCTCGCTTGCTGGAGTTAATGATGTTTTATGTCATACAGTATTGCTATTGCTAGCTTTCAGATTTTTAGTTTGTTCATCAAAAACTGTTTAAAATATGAAATATAGAATTCGAAATTGGATATTAGGGCTTCCAAGTACCCATGTTCGGGTGAAAGACTATGTTATTCAAAATTTTATGGCTCTGGACACTGTCTTTTTTTCACAATGCGAGGAACGTATATGCATACGTGTAGATTCTTTATTTATTAATTTCTTAAAAACAATACGGGGCGATAATATATGGTAGCAACTAACTGAAAATTCATTAGCCATTCATAATGAACCGAAGCAAAATACTTTTTCGAGACTAATAGCCCCTTTTGGGCCTTTACAAAAATAATAAATAAAATACATTTCATCTAATGAAATAGCTATAAAATCCCCTAACGTTTTCTCCTATGGGCTTCGCTTTCGGTTTGTTAAAACGAGCCTTAGAAAAACAGCATCCAAGGCTTCTGAATGAACTTTGGAAAATGAACCAAGAGAAGTGTGGTAAAAATGACATAACGATGCTAAGAAAAAGTTTACTTTCAAGAAAAATTCGAACTACAGTTGAATTAAGGCAAATCGCCGCAGGAACCCCACCTTTTTTAAATAAATAAATAATCTGAAAGCTTTCAGATTTTATATTTGGCCCGAACGGTCGTTTTTCATTTGCAGACACTTACACGTGTCGAGAGCATTTGGGCTAACGTCACATTGGGCTAAAAATATTTAGAAACAGTATAGCTTTAGAATTTCGGGTAGACAACCTCACGAGCTGGATATAAAAATGTTTTATTTTCTACAGTGTTGCCACTCCTTTCTTTCAAATGAACCTTCCTTTTGAGTTTTTTAATCCAAAATTCATGTTTTCAAAATATGGAATAAATAAGTTCAAAATTCGGGCTTCCAGGTGCCCGTCTTCAGGTGGAGGATTATGTTATTCAAAATTTGATGACTTAGTGGACCGTTGTTTTTTCACACTGCGATAAATATGTGTACATTCATGTAGATTCTCATTTAGTTTCTTTAAATTTAATACAGTGCAATAATACTTGGTGACAACAATTTGAAAAGTGGTGCAGTCGTTTATAATGATTTGAAGTAAATGCCGTTTTCAGATTAATAGCCCGTCTCGGCTAACGCTAATTTTGGCTAAAAATAATAATAATAATTGCATAAAATAAGTCATTAAAATTGAATAACTTATTAAAATACATTAATTAACAAAAGAAACTAAGCAAATGAGAAAATAAGTTAAATTATCTATAACTCGGTAACGTTCTTGAAACGCGTGCGCTCGCCTTACATTTTTGTTTGGTTGGAACTTTCTTAATATCCAGGGCAGCGTAAACTGGACTTTTCTTGGACTTTATTCTTTCCAGTCAAAATGAAAACCCGGGTATACATTAATGCTCTCAAAACCACTCTTCTTAAATCCCGCTGTAAAATTTATTTATATAATTTTATAGAACTTCTTGTAGACACTGCAATTTAATTTTAAGTATTCAAACGACTGGAATTTCTCCTAGAGATCGTTTGCAAAATCTAAATAAAAATATTGCTTGACTTGAAGTTAAATTTAACATGCGATTAATAAAAGTAATGTGTATTGTGATTAAAGCAATTCATTTAACATTTGAGAAAAATTACTTTTGTTTCAGTATTTGAATGATTATTTTACACTCTAATTTAATTTCTTAACCAGAGTCTTCAATATTAATTTGTTTTAAGCACATAATAACTTTTTTTTTAAGATTTCGGAATTCAGTTGCTCTTAATTGTACTAAGATATTCATTTATAGTAATCATATTACAACAGTTTATGAGAAAACATGAAATGGTTTGAATGAGGTGAGTATAGTTGAAATATAAACTCTGCATTCAAATTTTTAAGTTGTTATTTAAAAAACAATCAAATATAGTTCTTCTTGTGTATTCCAAATTAACTATTACCTTGCGCCTTCAATTATTTTTCCTCTGATGAAATGGAAATAATACCTGTTTCATAACACTCCCTTCCGTCAC